ATTACATCGCGCAACACATAGCGCGCTATGCCCTTTGTGCATGCACAAATACACCAGTGATAGAGAGAAGGTAAGAAAGCGTTCGCACAGAAATTCCGGAACGCCTCCAATCTTTTCAAAGCACTACAGACGAAATACACATCCAACGGCCATGATATTGGCATCTGTGTGTAGCTGAATGGTCACTTGTTCGAAATATACGTCTTGCAACCTGGTACCAAATCTTTAGCAGAATTATATGAGAAATCCTGCTCGAATTTGCCGCAAATTTCCATGAAGCCGATTCGTAAATGGGATAAGTAAATGAGCAATGGCGGCGCATTGCATTCTGGGAGCAATTCTGCTGCAATTTTCTCCAGAATGGCAATGCGCTGCCATTGCTCACGTTATGTGCTAGAGAGCTCAATGGTCCAGTGGTTGGCAGGTCTACTTTCACTTTTCAGGCTGTTAGTTCAAACCCTGGCCCATGCAGTAAATTTTCTCAGCTGTAAGACCTGGCTCTCAACATGGAGACTCTGAATCCCTTGTGGTGAACTAATTGTCAAATGCTCATCTGAGGTCATCTAATTGTCAAATGCTCATCTGAGAGTCATCTAATTGTCAAATGCTCATCTGAGGTCGGTGCTCATTTTTTTTAGTACTTTACCTGCTCCAAAACTTTTTTCCATTTTTTGACATTATTTTTCCCCATTCTAAAAAAACGAAAAAACAACCTTTTGAAGCAGATAAAGTAATAAAAACATCATCATTTGCAATCATGACAAGGGCCAAAAGTAGCCTTCTCAAACGCAATAAACGAATCAAGTATATCCTTAACCTCCTTTAACATTTCTCCTATAACATATATATATATAGAGAGACAGATAGATAGATAGATAGCTATATATATATATTATACATAGAGATATATATATTGATATTATACACGCCTGATATTACAGTATATACATAGAAATCGTAATGAAATTCACGTTTATTTTTGCATGCCGGAACGCTCTTTTCCTCAATTCATGGAAAGAATTTTGCTGTTGTCCTCCTATGCAAGCAGTGCCTATTCCCTACATATATACAGAACGAACATGCCCCACGTGACTTAAACAATCTTGCCCCCCCCCCCGAACATCAATCCATGCCGCCCAAGCTAGGCATGTGTACGCAGCCACGCTGTGCTGGCTGTCGCTGCACCAGCGTCGGAAATAACCAGGGGCGACGGGCGATTTCGCCCTCGGTGGAGCCCAAATAGCCCCCTAAAATCTTCAAACCCCTTCTTTGGGGCGACCATTTTCTTCAGCGTCGCCCTCATCTCTGCTACGAAAATTTCACAAAATTTCTGTTCTTGGATCAGCATGCAGCAGCTATCGTAAATAAACGTGCAATGCATAGTGGGAAAGGGAATGTAGGTATCGGCTTTTGCTTGCATGTTACAGCGCTATAGGTGTTGAACAACAGTAGAGGGCGTCCATAGGCTGCAGGCCTGAATAAGCATCGAACAGAAATTAATTAAAAATATGCACACTGTTACTGCGCTTACAAAACATACACTTTATTCATGTTAAATAACTACAGATTTGTGCTCTATGCTCCGCTCGAAACTTTTGCCAGCTCTATGATGCGAATTTCTACAGAGTAGTCGGATCCCGTTTCATACACAAAAATGGCCGACCGGCGAGCATGGCTACGCCACTAGCTGGAATGGCACAATTACACAACACGAATAATTTTACTTCTAATGCTTTCTAGACGTCCACGAGGTATCTACCTTGCGTGCATAATGCAAATTATTGCACTCTAGTGCCGAATTTCGGCGAAAAAAAATGCCCTTTCTAGAGACGAAATAGTGCAACGATGAACAATTGCGGATGCTTACTGTTGTACACCTCCTATACGAATCAGCGCTGTAATAATCAACTGATTCTAATCGCTTGCTTCAGTATGACTATAGTCTTCGACCGATACGGTTTGTAAAAAGGTGTTTATTTTCCACAGCACGGCGCTCAGTACAGTATGTTGTTTACGAATTACAATCGATGTAAAAGACTACCAAAGACCGGTAATGCAACTATCACGTTGTACCTGGGGTACGGTGAATGTTGAGCTAGTTTTCGCGGTCGCAGTGAAAATTACATACAGGATACAAAATTACAAATATTACAAACATATTAATAAATCATGACACAAAATTATTATACAATATATAGCACCAACAATATCACATTAATGGTCTAATATAATTAAATGTAATAAAATGTTAACATGCATTCAGTTCAACGTGCAACGAAAAAGTAGCCCCTAAACGAAAAAATATCCCAAAAAAATTCAAAAATAGCCCAAGGCTCTAATAAAAGTAGCCCTTAAAAAATAAAAATTAATTCCGCCCCTGCGCTGCACGCTGTCACGGTCCGCTTTTTTTGGCGACATTTGACAATAGAAATTATATTAT